CCCACCTGGACATGTCCCTGTGTCACCTGCTCTGGGTGACCCTGCCTTGGCAGGGAGTTGGACTGGATGATCTCCAGAGGTCTCTTCCAACCTCAACTGTTCTGTGATTCCATCTACTTACTTGGCTCCAAAACTACTGCACAACTGAAATGCCACTGTGACCTTTTTTTTTATTGTTATATCTCCTATTTTTATATCCCTGCCTTGTGTTTCAATAACTTGAACAAAATTCCCATTTTTTCTCATGACTATTCCTTGATCGTGTTTCAGCCCTGAGCCCAGCAAGGTGGGCTGCCTGTCCTGTGCTGGGGGTCACGTTGAAGGAACAGAGCTGGCAAGGGCAAAGCTCTGCATTGTCTCTGAGTGACAGCAAAGGAGACCAAGAAGTGCCAGCACACCTGAGGGGCAGTGACAGGCATGTGGRGGGTCTTGGAATTGGGATTTCGAGAGAAACTGCTCAGCTGTTTGAAAGGGTGTTAGTGGTTTTCCAGTGATGGTTTTCCACCTCTCTGCTCTCCTCATTGAAGGAATCTCCTGGATTCCTCCTGATGTGAGGTAAAACCATCATTGATTTCGCTCTTACTTCTATGAGCAGCACTGCAAGGCTTGTACACCCTGTACACCCAAAAACTTTCCATTCATCTTCAGTGACTACAGCAGTTCTTTCATCTAAAGTTGGAACTTAATTGTCATGAACATCAGGTCCAGAGAGTTCCAACTGAGGAGGAACAGGGAAGAGAGAGCTGTCTCTCTGAAATGTCTTTTGCTGAGATGACAGATGTTCTTTTAATAGGATTTATCTGGATTCCCCTTTGCCACTTTGCCTCTGATGCTGGAGCGGAGGCTTTAAATCTAGGGTGCTTTAATCATCAGTTTAGCTGCTAAATACAGGAATAAATTTGGAGCTCCTGTCTATGCCTTGGGGCTATATTCTGCCTTGATTTATAAACTTCTCATCCCACAGGGTCACAAGGCARTCTGCAGCAGAGAGGAGTTTGGCTCAGTGAGTCCCTTCCACAGCTGTGGATGGGCATCAGGCAGCTGGGGCYGATCCCAGCCCATTCCCTGCTCTGGAGAAACGTGGTGGCAGTGAAAGGAAAATGTGCAAGTCCTTTCTCAGTCCCTAAGTCAGAGTGAGTGCTCGAGTTACTGAATCAGAAAGGATGCATTGTGAGTGTCTGATACTGATACGACCCTCATTATCAGGAACTACATGTACTGAGAATGTGAGTTCTTTTTTTCCCCAAGACACTGCCARTTGCCCAGCACAGATTATCACTGCTGTCAGTCTCTGGTGGTACGTGTGCCCTGTGCTGGACAGTGCTGCATGGAAGGTGAAGAAAGAAATGTCAGACAGGAGCAAGTGAAGCCAAAACGACAGAGACGTGTTCAAGTACAAAACAAGGAGGATGAGAAGTGGTTTGGCCCTCAGGACTGAGAATCAAACCCTGCTGGACTTGACCCAGGTCGGCAGGGAAGTGATGGAAATACCATCTGGATGTTTCTGATACCAATGGACACATGATCTACAGATGAAGCACGTTGATCTTGTTCCCTTCATCTTCAGTATTGTGGGCTAAATAAATCCATGTAGAACAAGAATCAAGACAAACCTGCCTAAAGAACCTGCTTTGTCTGGTCCTAAGCAACTTTGCAGCTGTGTGAGACAAAGGTGCTGCTGAAGAAGGCTGGTGGGGGGTGCAGGGTCGTTCCCAGGTCAGCTCCATCGGAGCAGCTGGACAGGAGGGAGCTGTGCCAGGCTGCCCAGTCACGCTGGCCAGGGTGGCTGTGACAGGTTGGTGGAGCAGCTGGGAGTGGGAGAGGTGGCAAGAGCCATGTGGAAATGGAAAGAAGGGAGCAGCAGTAGCAGGCGAAGGTGTTAACAGCAGCTTGCTGCAGCTGACTCCAGAAGGCAGCTCCAGGCATTGCTGAGCTCCCCRAAGTGTCCCTCAGTTCTCCTCACCCAACATCCCTGTGGCTCAGCTCTGTTTCAGCACTTCTTCCTGGACCAGTCTCACTGCCTTCCCAGCAGAAGGAAACAGCCTAAAATGCCTTCGTGGCAGCAGGTGCAGTGCTTTGGCACCTGACTCCAGTTCCCTGCAAGCACAGGCAAGGGTAACTGGTCATCTCTTGGGGTTGTTGCTGTGTGTGATCTCATGTGTATGTGAATACACAGGCTCCTGAAATGATATGGGTTCAGTTTTACAGGGCAATAACACATTATGATGGATATTTGAGTCTCTTTTCCTTCCATGCTAWTTTTTTTTCTGTAGATAAATTCTTTATTAATGATGGCTCTGGAACAAGRCTTCATATTCCCTTTGCATATGAAGTTACTTCTTCAATGTGTAATTACTGAAGGTGCTAAATTGAATGAAAATGAAGATTATCCAGTTGTTTTACAAAAAGAAAGCACATTGGTGTGCTGGCAGCCCTTTGTAGTGCAGATCATGAAAACTCCTACATAAGTACAAGTGAAAACGCCTTGAGGAGGGGACAAGTAAGSTAGGAAGAAAGAATTATCCTTATATTTTACATGCTAGATCAGGTAGGTAGTTATGTCAAATACATCTGGTCAATCCTTCCAGGATTTCAGTAAAAAGTTGACTCTTCAAACCAGTCATGGCCCACTTACATGTGGGTAAATTTTATGGAGGTGAACAGGTCTCAATGCTTATAAAACAGAGAGTGGAGCTAGTCTCTCTGCTTGCGATCATCAGCACCAGGGGCTTCACTTTTTCTTTTAAACCCAGATCCCAGAGCTCAGGAATTCCTGGATCTCTGCATTCCGGTGCTGTCAGTGTGTGAGTGAAGGTGACACTCCTGTGTGTTCTCTCTGAGGAGGCTGTGCATCTTCCACACAAGTATCAGTTTCAGGAGGAACAGGGGCAGCTGTCAGCCACGATTCTGTGGTGTCTTAAGAAATCTGTAGCGTCATCGTGCCCACACAGATTAGTAAATGTGACAAGTTGAGACGACTACTTAGAGCTGGCCTTTGTTTTTAATTTTAAAAATGGTTTGTTTGGCACTATTAGTGAGCACAGATCTTGGCAGATCTCGGGGAGCCGTTTGGTGGTGTTTTCCCAAGATGTGCCCACTCTAGAGCACRGTTAATCTTGGAGCTGGGGAGGATCTGAGCTGCTGAAGAGCAGATGCAGGGGGCCTGCTGCCTCTTGAAGGCTGACGCGTGGTTGGAGAGACTTTGGAGCCTGTGACCACTCTCTGCACTGTTCTGTGACACTGTGTCCTGCAGGTGGGTGGGCAAGCTGTTGGATGACAGCCTGTGGAGCACCTTCTTCCTCTGGAATGGCCCTTGTTGTCCATCAGGCTCCTCCTGGAGCAGGTGCAGGTGTCCACACTGACYGTGGGGCAGAGCAATCCTGCCAGCCTTTACACTTGTGCAGTATCTGAGGGGCACTACTCCTCACTACACCCAGGCATGGATTTTTGACTTTGTGTGAAGCCTGGAAAGAGCATCAGCTGCAGRTTCAAGAGGCACAACTCTTCCTTCAGGACTCCTACACTGTCTCCTGGAGTGACTCCAGGAGCCACAGAGCTGCCAGCTCCAGTGTCCAGAGACTGTGAGGAGACAAATGAAATTACACCTGACTTGTGTCAGCCTGAACGGCCCTGACAGTCACCTCTTGTGCAGAGTGGCCAGAGACCGATTTATTTCCTAGTGGTGCTGGAGGAAGTTGTATCTCAAGCAGAAAAATGAGACAGTGGTGACACCCTGTACYGGTACCAGCTCAGTTCTGGCTGCARACAGGGCAGGGGAGATACGAGCATGATCCAGGATGAATTTCAGATTCAAAAGCTGACTGTGTATGGCCTCAGCTTGGGAGGGCTTCTCTCAGAGGGGCACAGGAGCCCTTCACAGGCAGCAGGGTGGGGCAGCAATGAAAGGTTCCATGTTACACACATACACCACCAGAGGTAGGTCTCCTCTTCCTTCTTCAGTCTGTGGCCAATTGCAAGGTAGCCAAACCTCAAATTGTGGGTGACTTCTTCCAGGTCATGACTCCGTAGCTAAATAAAGTATGTTTCTTAAATATCTACTGAAGTAGAGGCTTGGGTTTGCTTTCTGCCTCTGTTTTAAGTGCTGCTGTCTGTGCTGGACACTAATGATTTCGTCTTTTAGGTAGTAGTSACATGAATAATGCATTCCCTGCTGAGCCTTTTTGCCAGTCCCCGAGCTGCTTCCCATCTGAAGGGAAGTGTAAGAGGTAATTAACAGCCACTTGAAAAAGGATTAGCAGGTGGGTGGGAGCTACTGTTGGGTTCATGCATGGAATTGCCATGGAAATGCTGAGATTTCCTGGCACTTCATCCAGTGTGTGGGCTCCAAAGATAGTTGCACTCATGGGCCTGTCTCCTTTCGATCTTCCTACCYTACAAAGGGAGCGGCTGTGTTTTCCTTCAGGACAGCTCCCACGGCTGTGCAGTGGCCATCTGTGGGACTGGGGTGTGCCGTGAGCAGGGTGCTGGGCTGCAGCTGTCAGCTGAAGTCTTGCTGCATTTCTTTCCTGWCAAACCACCTGGCAGAAAATCAGGAGGGGAAAAAAAAACCCCAAACCTTGTTGGTTTGCCCCTTTGCCAGTGTTCTTAAAGAGCTTAATGTGCCAAACACTCYGAGTTTGGCACTTGGAGAAGTTTGGTGCTGGTGCTTGTCCTGCAGACTGTGACCAGCAGACAGGCTTGTAGCTGAACCAAGGCTGTCTGGCAAGGTATTTTCAGGCTGTGCAATGAGACCTGCATTTGCTTCTAAAATTGTTTGGTGGCCATGCTTTAAAACATTGGGCCTCTTTGTGACACAGAAATATCTCATTTCAGTGCCAGCTCTGGAAGTTTAGAAGGTGGCAATGGGCACACGTTCGTCTGAAGTGGTTCCTGGAGGGACCTCCTGTATCTGTCTCCCCTACACAGCCATGGCAAAGAGCCTCCTGCCTGGGTCATGTCTGGGGTGCTTTGCTGTAAGGAAAACGTGCCTCTCRTTTCAGATCACCTGCTAGCAGACTCCTACATCGGGCAGGAGGACTCCCCTGAGATGCAGCAGGCGGCCCAGAACAAGCGCCGACTCTCGGTCATCTCGGATGGCAAATTCGAGAGGAGCTTCACCGAGGAGCAGGCGGAGAAGATGCCGAGCGAGGGCCCCAAGCCACGGGTGTACACCATCTCCGGCGAGAGGCCCATGCTGTCGGAGCACGAGAAYGACAGCATGGAGCTGGTGGTGATGAAGGGGGCCACCCACGAGGAGTGCCACCACGGCCACCACGCGCACGGTGCCGGCGGCTCACAYGGCGGCCGCCACTGCAAGGCCTGGCCAGGCGGCCGCCAGGGCTCCAAGGAGTGYCCCAACTGCACCAGGCTGGCTGCACCTTCCCAGCAGTCCATTGAGCTGGAGCAGCACCCGCCTGGYGAGGCTGGGTGGCACAGGAAAAGGCTGGAGAGGATGTACAGTGTCGATCGAGTGTCTGGTAAGTGAGTGCCGGGTGACCTGACATGTGACACCCATCTTGTCCCAGCACTGGGGTTTTGATTCTGGGCCTTTCTGGTAGCTTGGACCAGCATTTCTGGAAAGGGATTGTCAAAGATGGAGTTTGAAGTAAGCAGTTGGAAGCTAGGTCCTCCCAGCTGCTGGTCAGCAGCATCTGCTCTGGGTGGGTTTCATGACTCCTTCGTGCAGCTCTGGGCTCCATTTCTGTGGWGGAAGAGCAAGAGAGGAAGGACTCTGTCAAAGCCCTACATCTGTGTTTATCCCAGAAGCAGTTCAGTGCAGSACCCTCTCTGTGCCTCATGCTGGGCAGGGGGAATCTTTGTGAATGTGCCAGAATGCTCTGTGGGAGCCTGAGCTCATGGTGCTCAACTTCAGGTTATGGTGTTCTGTACTTTGGTGTATTCCAAAAATGTTTGTTTGCAGGGCTGGAAGCCACTCATGTAGTGCCATCTCATGGGCTTCCCAGAAATACTGGCAACTACCACAGTATTGGACTTCCTTCCCTGCTTTCTTCCCTGCTCAGTATTCTCAGGGAACAGGGCTTGATTCAATTACATTTAAAAAAAAAAAAAGATTGTCTTTAAAAACTGAACCATTAATCAAATATATGTCACAGTCTGTGTGCTTTGAATTATAAACTGATGTGCAGTCCATCTTTGCCTGTATGTGGCTGGCAAAGGGTCTGACCTAATTTGTCTGATTTTTTTYTGTAAACACACATCAAGGCATTTAGAGCAGAGTCGGGCCAGGAAAGGTCAAGGTTTTCTCCTTGAAAAGAAATTGTGTATAAGGACTGAAGATCAAGCTGTCCAGTTTTCCTGGGTCCATAGTTTTCTMGTAAATATTACAGTGATGGTTACTACAGGTAAAATCACCAAAAATTTGGGTCCTGAACCATGTTTTCATGCCTAGATGCCTGAAATTGTGGGGCTACATGAATATATGGCCTAAACTGAAGAATAATATTGAAAATAATGGCTGATTATCAAATGTGTGGGAAAACTACAGCCCTATGAAATACGTGGATTATTTTTAAGCATTGTGCCTCTKTTCCCTGGTACTTTTTGGGCTTCTCATCAGATACTGTATGTGCCTCATACCAGCTCCTGTGAAGAAAAYGAACTTTATCCCAGCCCAAACYAGCACAYCTGGAGRGATCAGAGTTGCATTTTKCACYRTGGAACTGAAGGAATTTACGTGATCRATGCATGACCAGAGGAAAGCTCCACATCACCAATGGAGGGGTTTAACTCCTCATGGCTGGAGCTAACCTGGTGTGTTTGCTGGAAAACATGTCCTGGCAAATCCTAAATCCTGTAGGGAGATATCATGTTCTCTTTCTGGGCCCTGGAATTTATTGTCTGTTTTCARCTAGGGAGCCATTTTCATTGGGACCAGTTACAAGGTGGTGATTTGTCTTTTGGAAAATATGTCAGAGTAGTTACTGAAATGGGAACAGAGTGGCCAGTGCTGAACCTGTGGATGCCCCTGTGAGTATTCCATGTTTCAGACAAGCAGGCAGCAGCTCTCCTCAGTGCTTGTCTCAAGCCTCTGAGCCCTGGCTGCGTGACTGCAGAGGCAGGGCTGTCTCCAAGCCCAAATCCCATCTCAGCACTGGCACCATGCAAGGAGAGTTCCCTCAGCTTGCACTCTGTATCCCAGTGCTGTCACTTGGATAACCCAAGAGCTGAACAGCACAAGTGTCACAGGTTGCCAGAAGAATTCCCTGGCATGTCCTTCCTGCCTGGCTGGCRGGGAAAAGGGAGCAGAGAAGAGTGGAGGCAGGAGGGGCTGATTTCCCCAGGGTTGGGTTCACCTGACAGCGCTGCTTCTGTTTGCATTTACATGACGAGTCGCTGCTGCAAACCAACACTTACGGCAGCCAGGCCCACTGGCATCGCTGAATATGGATTTTGATGCTGAGTTTATGATGCCTGACACCRTTCCAAGTGCAAGCTGTCAGCTCCTGGGCTGCTCCCAGCATCTGATGCAGACACATCCACCCATGGGCAGAGGTGCTGGGATTTGGGTGTGGTGGGAAGTGGCTGGAGATGCWGGATGTGGTGGTGGTGGCTCTCCAGTCTTACCAGTCCCGTGGCTCCTCCACTGTTCCATCACAGCTGATGGTGACAAGAAAGAAGAACAGGCTCCTCTGCCTGGCCAGAAAGGATGTGCTGCCTGCTCCTGGCAGCAGCTGCCATGCCTATGATCAGAATTTTAATTTGGTGATGAGCTCTGGAGCTGAGCTGTGCTGCCCAGTCCCCTCTGTGAGCTCCTCTGCTGCTGYTGTACCTCTGGCTGGTAAAGAGATGCCTCTGAAGAGTCCCAGATCCTTTACTCTGCATTGAGTGCTGTGTGGAAGGCAGGAATATTTTTCCTAAGTTAACTCTAGTCTGTGAGAAAAGGTAAGAAAGCTCTCAGCAATGGTGCAGGCAAAGCCTCCTAAGGACATTAGCTACTGTTCATAAGCTCTACTTTGAACCAAAGCTAGTAGCTTAAAAGCTGTAAAACACATTAAGAGATTGTCAGTCCTTTGAGATGAGTAGTCCCTGAGAAGCCTAAACAGAATTGTTGGCTAAAAAGGAATTTGTATAACTTTTCCTTTGCCACTTCTGTGGGTTGGAGACTTCAAATAAGAATTCATTTACAGCCTGAGTTGTTCTGCTTTGCATCTCACTCCATGTTTTGGAGAAGAGCAGACTTTGGGACTGCATCAGAAGTCTTTAGCATACTGGAATGCAGTTTCWTTTAACATATATATTTCCTTGGAGTGCCTTTAAACAAGACTTGACGTAAACTGTGAGCTGAGAAGGAGTGTCTGGTACAGCTTTCTATAGATTTCTTGGAAGCTGCTCTTCAAAGGAAGGCTCCCCAGCTGCACTTAGCATCTTTTGCATCAGTAATTGCAGCCACTTTCTGCACTTTCAGGGAATAGTCTGTGGGATATGATCTGCACAAAACATTTGGTAGCTGGTCTGTAKTGATTATGTCTGCAATGGGCATGTGGAGTTTGGGGTTGAGCCWGCGAAAGTGAATTAAAAAATACCTTGACAATGCCAGAATATTAGATATTATCAGGTATATTGTCAGATCTGAAGACTTGAATGACTGAAGTAAGACTCAATCAGCAACGTGGAGCAAGGCATTAGGCAAGGGAGCCATAAATTGGTGTGAAGCAAGATGAAAAATCAGGCATCCCCAAACCCCAGGAATTCAGCCCACTGAGATCCAGTCTGCTGAGAGGTGCCAGTGGATTTCCATACCCCTCAGAYTCCCTGCCTGCCTGACTCCAGCCTCAGCTTGGGTAGGTTCCTCCTCCTGGTCACCACCATCCCACACACCTAAGTGGTGACATTTTTGTTGCCTGCTTTTTCTCTTAATGGTCAGTCCTGAAGATGATGCAGTGTCTTGATACCCTGGGATTTTAAAAAAATCACCACTTGGTTTGGACAGGGCAATTTTCAAACAGAGGTGACTAAATCAACTCAGTTTCCTGCAGTTTGTGGAGCTGAAGGGTGGTTTGACTTCCAAACCAGACAAACTCCTAAAGGCAAAGTCACCAGGAGCAGATGTGAGAGGGGTTTATTGAAACTTCAGTGGCAGGAAAAAGAGAGAATGTCTTAAGCTCACAGTTCTGAGGAGAGGAAGGTAAATGTTTTTCATCTTCTAGGGCTGTATCAGAAAGAACTGGAGGAATGYGACAGTTTAAATCAGTGGTATAAAGGAAAGGGCACAGGCTAGAAAATCCTTTTCAATGAAAAATGTTTCTTTCTTCTATTTTTTTTCCTAATTCAAATGTCACTTCTGTAATTCCTGGATTATTCTAATCTCCCATGCTTAAGATAGAGCTTTTTATTTTTCACTTACGTGCCTGATAGACAGGCTTAGCACGAATTTACAGACCACTCAGTGGCTGGGTGCATTTTTATGAGGAGGATGAGACTCCTGAACTCCTGTTCAGTCAGGGSAGGATGCTGAAGAAAAGTCCTGAGAGGAAGAGCTTGGGAAGGAGATCTGTCTATCTGAAGGATGTCTGTGCCTGCTGAGTGCTCAGGCTCTGCTCTCTCTCTCTCTCTTGCAGATGATGTCCCCATACGAACCTGGTTCCCAAAGGAGAACCTCTTCAGTTTTCACACTGCTACTACAACTATGCAAGCGTAAGTGAAACCACTGCTGTGSCTTTTGTTCTGTGTCTCGGAGTCCAGACGTGCTCGGAGCCTGGAGCAGGAGTTGTGTGTTTGGCATCACTGGCCAGGGATGAGAGACAAAGAGAGAAACTTGTCTCCTCTTAATTTTCCTTCCCACTTATTCGTTCTTTCTTACTGCTCTCATTTGTTTGGTTTTGCCTTCTTTAACTCTTTAGGCTGCCCAGCCCTTCTCTGCTTCCCTGATTTTTGTCCATGGCACTGTGCCCTGAGTGAGGGTCCTTTGAGAGTACCAGCTCAGACCCTGCACCAGCTGCTCCTGCTGCCCCCCCTTCCCATGGGAAGGTTATTCCAGCCTTGCCCTGCATCCCTGGCTGAGAGAGCTGCCTTTCTCTGGGATAGATGCAGCTCTGCAGCTCTGTGCTGCTCTGCACATGTGAATGTGTCCGTAAAATCTGCAAAGTATGAAGGGATGTGAGTTAGGAGGAGCCTTTCCCTCCACACTCCACACAGGTTTTGATGCCCCTGGTGCTGTGTTTGGGCAGCTTTCAGAGGGCTGAAGAGAGGAAGGGAAGCCTCTTTTCCAGGTTGTACCTGGCTTGCCAGGGCCTGACACCTTCCTGGTTTCAGCTGTTTTCTACCTGACCGGAAAACCAAGGCAAGCAGTGAGGAAAATGAGACACCTTTCTGCCTTCCAAGCCCTTCTCCAGCCCAGTCACCTTTTTCCTATATGTTTCTTCCAATTCTGGGACACACTCAGCTCTCTGGCTCTCTCTGTTTTCTTCTTGTCTAATCTGGTGTCCTTTTTGTAATCTTGCTTCTCTGACATTTCTTTCCCTTGCGCTTTTCCCTTCCCAAATCCTGAAAAGAGGCTGATTATTTCTTTTGCGGTAACCCAGACTGGATCAGACCTGGAAGGATTAATGCAGGGAAGGCTGGATKTGGAGTTGAGAAGTGGGGTAGCTGCATCCCCCAGAAAAAAAAAAAAAAATCCACTTTAAAAATACTGGCTATTAACAGTGAATGATATTTCACAGTTCTGATCTGACCCACAAACTGTGTGCAAAATCAGCACATTTGGACATAGCCTTTGCTGTCTGAATTCATATTTGCTGGGCAGATTCATTGCAGGATGGTGGCCCATCACCGGGCTTGAAGGCCAGCATTGGTTTGGGGAACATTCCCTGAGGGAACCCTTGAGGRGCACAACTCCCTTGGTTAATGCAGCTCCTTGGTTCACATTCCTGGAGCCTCTGTGCTGCCTCTAGAAACTCCACAGAAACACCTCCAGAAGTTCAGGGTACCTCCCCAAAATGCTGGGGTGGCCCCCAGGTGCCTCTGGCCTCTGCTCCASTGTTTTCATCCCACTGTACTTGCTCCCTTCGTGACTCAGCATGACCCAACTTCACCAGTGTTTGTCATGGTGGAGAACTCTCCCTGCCCCAGGAGCTCATGGTGGTGCAGCATGAGGAGCCACRCTCAGCTCTTGTGCATCTCCACATTGTCTGGCTCTACACGGAGCTTCATTTGCATCCAAGCCACTTGTCAGCCCTGCCCCAGGGAGGATTGAGCTCAGTCAAGGAGTCTCACCACTGAGAAATGTTTAATTTAAAAAGCAATTTCCTTCCACCTGACAAGAAATATTCCTTCTGGAGTGAGAATTCTGTCAGAATGCTGTCTGGGGCTGAGTACTAATGAATTCCTCTTCTCTCTTTTCCCTGCATCTCCTGGACTCTCTAGCATCTCGTAAGTATGATCTTAATTTTTTTATTTCCTTGTGTGTTGGTGTCCTGCATCAACTCTCCTCTCTTCTCCTCTCCTCTCCTCTCCTGTCCATCATATTCACTCATGCTAGGGGCTGTCTGTCAGCTGGCAGGTTAGGTTGCTATACCTGGTAGACCTACACGGATCCCACCAAACCATCCTCATCCTYCAAGGGCAGCCCCAGTTGCTGGCAKRCTTTGTCCCTCTCAACCTTGGTATGCAGAGAGGGTGTTCCTGCAGCTCCCAGGTCCATTCTCCAGAGCAGGGATGGTGGTTGCTCCTCTGGGCCGTGTTGTGATGTTTTAGGATGTCCAGCCCTAGGGAGTGAGGAGCWGTGGTTGGTGAGTGCCCTGCCCTGCCCGCGGTGCTGCCCATGCCCCTGGGTGGCACAGCCTCCGTTGTGTGCCCGGAGCTTTCCTCTGTGTGTCCCGTGTCCTCTGCCCTTCCCAGCTCTGGACTTGCTTAATGGCTTGAAATGGTTTCCCAGGGCATTCAGGGGCTACGCAGAGAGGAAGAGACGGAAACGAGAGAATGATTCTGCAGCTCTTATCCAGAGGTAGGGCCCCTTCCCTCCCGGAGCTGTSACCTGCTGTTGCATGGACCTTTGGGGTCAGCAGTGAACCCTGGTGGTGGTGACCGTGGCTGTCCCTGTCTCTGTGCTGTCCTAGGGACACGGGCTCTGCTGGAGCTGAATGATGCTCAGGGTAGCTGATCTCCATCTTCTTAAAGAACACTGTYGAGATGCTTTTAACATCCCAGATATAATATGCATGATCTATGCCTCAGGCAGAAAAATATGTAATATRTATTTAAAAAATTAAAGATGCAATTTCTTCATTCCAACTTGGAGTTTCGTATCATCACAGAAAGACATGAGTTGGAAAGGACCTTAAGTATCCTCTAGTTCCAACTCCCCTGCCACAGGCAGCAAYTGTTTGAAGGTAGCTGAATATTTGTATTTGCTGTTGCTGCACCTACAAATGCACCTCAAAAATCTGAGATCTAGGCAAAATGAACATCTCTAGTAACCAGAAGTCTATTTTAAATTATTTTTTTATAGTAGCAGGGAAATAAAACTTTCCTTTTTTCCTTTTTTCCTTTTTTCC